ACGTGCACCAGTGCCACCAGTTCGAGCAACCACAGTACCACCAGTAGCAGAACCTCCAGCTCCAGCAGCGCCAGCACCTCCAGCTCTAAGACGGCTAGCTCCACCACCAGGGCTGCCCCACTGGACAGCCCACTCGCACAGCCGCTCCGGCGAGAAAGCCTCCTGCCGTCACGTAGCAGGACCACCAGTACCAGTACCTCCAGGACCTCCTGTGCCCAGAGGACACTCAACACCCCCAGAACCAGCACCTCCAGTGGTACCACCTCTTGCAGCACCAGACTCCACAGCGACAGGCTGCAGTGGCGGTGAAGACGGTCGAGGCGGAAACCCAGGAGGGACAGCGAAGCGTGCAGAGCGGCGAGGGGTCACTGTGGCAGCAGGAGTCGGGTCACCCCCCTCAGCTGGGCCAGAGGTGTCTGAGGAGACCTACAAAGGCTCAACCAAGGGCGGTGCGTTGGTGGGAAAGCCAAGGAACACGCACCGAAGAGTGCGTGGAGAGAGCTTGCCCGCAGGCAAGTCGCGGACAAGAGAGAGGGAACCCTAGACCCGAAACGCCGACGCATCACCAACCTCGCCCGTCCACCTCAAGGTGGGAGAGGTCTCCGGGTGGGAGACACGGGGCCAGAGGTTGAGCTTCTCAGCGGCGTATCGGACCGCAAACGGCCACAGAAAATGGGGAGCAGCCGCATGGATCATGGAGGTGCGAGCAACATCCATGACAAGACCAATGCGGCACTCAGCAATCCCATTCTGCTGAGGAGAGGCCGGAAGCGTGTACGACTGGACGATGCCCTCAGCACCACAGAAGTCCTCAAGGAGGCGGGAGAAAAACTCACCACCTCGGTCAGAGTGCAGCCGCAAGACAGGCAGGTCCTACTGGAACCGAGCGCGAAGCTGGAGACGAACAGTGCGGATCCAGCGGATCAAGACACCGCGAACATCCGCCTTGCTCTGCAAGGGGAAGACCGTGGTGTAGCGCGTGTAGTCGTCAACAACCAGCAAAAAGTAGCGCTCGCCACCCTGTCCAGTGACGCGGGCGGGCCCCACACGTCCATGTGCAGGGTCTGCAGAGGAGCAGTGGTAGGAGGAAACGAGGAGGAGTGAGGAGCGGCGCGCTGCCGCCCCTCGACGCAGGGAAGGCAGGGCGGTGCAAGCGACCTCGGGAGCGGGGGAAGGGACCTGGGGAGACCAGACACAAGAAGACGGGAGTGCATGCCACGCAGGCGTGGCAAGGAGGGGTGGCCAAGATGGTAGTGCCAGAGGAGAGTCTGGTGCGTGAGGAGACGACACGAATAAGACCAGGCGACCTCAACCGACGCAGCTACCTGACCTGACTCAGCTACCTGTGCGGACTCAGTGGTCAGTGTGTACAGGCCAGACCCAGGCCTCCGAGTGAACGTGGCGAGGTGCTCACCAGTGCGCAAGTCCGTACAGATCGCCACGAGCTCGCCTCCAGGCTGGGTGACAGTGACCCACTGGTCCTGGAGGACAGAGGTAGCCACCAAGTTCTTAGCGAACGAGGGGAGGTGGAGACCTGTGAGGAGGCCGGAAGGGGCCGCCGAACAGGGGAGAACAGTGGCACCACGCGCGACTACCGGGCCCCCAGAGGGGTCAGCCAGTGTGACAGGGACAGGGACTGTGAGCGGTGTGACTGTGGTGCTATCGCGGAAGAATCAACGAGACGCCCCTGAGTCGAGAGTAAAAGTGTGCAAGGCCTCCTCAGGCTCTGCACCTGTGCTAGCTGAGTCAACAGCACCAAGACTAGCAGCCTCTACCCTAGCAACTCTAGGCACACACAAGTAACAGTCCTCCTCAACACTAGCAGAAGCAGCATACATCGCATACATGCATGCCAGCATGGATCACAGCCCAGTCACAAGCAAAAACATATATGTCCTGCTTCAGCAAAGCGAGCCAATCAGGAGTCTTCATGTGCTCACCATGCTCCGCACGATACAGATCGTCGAGGCGAAAGAAGCAACGAGACTCGGTGTGGTCGGTGCGAGTGCAGGTCGCTCCAGGCTGACCTGTGCGACAGACGTACCCGCTGCGAGGTGGGCCACCTGAGCTGCCACGGCGGATCGCCCACTCGCGAAGCTGCTGCGTCGAGAGTTGCGCCTGGCGGCTCAGCTGCTGGCCACCCCCAGAGCCACCTCCACCCCCCACTGCACCACGAGTGGCCGGACCTCCAGCCGCTCCTCCTCCAGCTCCGCCCCTAGTGCCACCCCCACCCCCTCCACCACCCCCACTGCTCCCTCCACCCCCGCCTCCTCCCTTGCCGCCTCCACCTCCTCCTCCCCCACCACCTCCACCGCCACTGCCGCTGCCCCCGCCACCCCCACCACCCCCGCCACCCCCACCCTTGCCACCCTTGCCCTTGCCGCTGCGGCGCTTCCCACTAGGAGCAGAAGCAGCACCAGCCTCCTCAGCACCGAAGAGGTCAACAGCAGCAGCAGAGGCAACAGACGACGCGAGGAGGGAGGGGGAGCACCCCTCAAAGACAGAGGGGTGGGGAGTGCCACGAGAGGCAGCGACAGCTAGGGCAGCGGACTCCGCCTCTAAGAGACGGGACTCGAACGTGTCGAGGGTGATCTTCGTGGGGTCTAGGGTGAGGAAGTGGTCGCGTACAGCACGAAGGGAGTCAGGGAGTCGGGTCGTGAGAAAGTAAAGAGTGAGGTATATGGGTGGCTTGTAAAGGTGGGTTCGAGGGCAGCAGCGTAGCGGGTCTCAAGGGAGCGCAGGTGTGTCATGAGGTCGGCTACTGTGGTGAAGTCCGACAGCTCGGGAAAGAGGAACGGCAGCGCTAGACGGCCTACAGTGGTAGACGACGGGGACGAGTAGCGTGTGAATACAGCGTCGTAAAGCGCCTTGGCCGTCTTAAGCTGGCGAAAGTGGGAGCGCTGGTCTAGCGGAAGGTGGCTACGGACAGAAAGAGCGGCAGTAGCGTCACGCGACGCCCACCTGGACTGGTCTACACGAGTAGCTGTGGCAGCAGGGGCGGCTAGGGTCCCAGAGGTATGCTAAAAAAGCGAGACATCCTCCCTAGTCTGGCTCTGCAGGTACAAGTGGAGATCCTCTGACAAGGATTCGAAGTCTACCGGGTGACCCTCTCCGTCAAAGGTGAGAACAGTAGGGGTCGCCATAGCAGCAGAACGGTAGTGGCCCCAGCTGCAGTAGCAGTAGCAGCAGCAGTAGCAGTAGCAGCAGTAGCAGCAGCAGCAGCAGCAGCAGCAGCAGCAGCAGCAGCAGCAGCAGCAGCAGCAGCAAGGCAGTGCAGCGCTGTAGGGGCAGGGCAGCGCGGCTCGGGCAGGGCGGCACGGTTCGGGCAGGGCGGCGCGGCTCGGGCAGGGCGGCGCGACGCGGCGCGGTTTGGGCAGGGCGGCGCGGCGTGGCGCGGCTCGGCAGGGCACAGCGCAGCAGCGCGTGCAGCAGCATCAGCTCAGGCGCAGCAGCAACAGCAGCGCAGTGCGAGCGGCAGCAGCAGCTCAGGCGCAGCAGCGCAGCAGCGGCAGCGCGGCGGGCAGGAGCTGCGCAGCAGCAGCAGCGTATGCAGCAGCAGCAGCAGCGTACGCAGCAGCAGCAGCAGCAGCAGCAGCAGCAGCAGCAGCAGCGCGCGGCAGTGCGGTTGGCAGGGCACAGCGCAGCAGCGCGTGCGGCAGCAGTAGCTCAGGCGCAGCAGCGCGCAGGCAGTTCACGGGCAGGGGGAGCAGCGCGCGGGCAGCAGGCGCAGCGAGCAGGCAGGGCGCGCAGCGAGCGTGGGCAGCGCGCTTGCAAGGCAGCAGGCAGCGCGCTAAAGCAAGCAGCGCGTGCAGCAGGCAGCGCGTTCGGGCAGGCAGGGCGCGTGGCAGCGCACGGGCGCTACGGGCGCTATGGCAGGGACAAGCGGAAACGACGATGGGCCCTAAAAAATACGGTCCTAACTGGAACCTACTCTGAAACCATGTCAGAACGTGAAAGTAAGAAATGGACTAGAATGAGGACAGTACAGGATTGTATAGTCCTAACCCTAAAGTGTTGTACCCTTTAGGGTATGCCCCACTACAGCCTACAGAACAAATACACATTTGACAAGAGTTTTTCACCCAAATCAAAGAAATTTCTCTGACTTCTGGGGGCCTGACAGGAATGCACATGCTCAATTCTTCGTCGTAACACATGCTCCTTCCACCACCCAATAGGGCTGCCTGCCAGCCTACCAATAATTCCCTTTTGCTGCCCTGCACCCTATGCTTCAAGCACCAGCAGCACTGCACTGCACCTCTCCCAACACTCAGACCAACACCATACGCAGTGCTATTGGCATATTAACTACATGCCCATGCTTATCCACCAATCTAACCGAACCAAACACAAATCCCCTCGCAAACCTTTTCATCTTGAAAACCATCGTGATTCGCTGCACCTCTCCCGGACCAACGGTAAACTTGCGTGGCGTCACCCGAACCTGCACGCGCGACGGCACCCGAACCTTCACAGTGTACGTCGACGGCTTGTGAAACACGTTCCGAACCGTGCGCACAATCTTCTTCCCTTGGTCCGACAGCCGTGAGATCGAGATCGTTGGACGGTTGAGATTCCACGGCTCGAGTGCCCGAATCCCCTTCAGGTCTGGAAACGCCTGCTTCGTCTGCTGGAAATCCCGGCTCGCTACGAAATTCACATAATCATCAAACCCAGAGGTTAAAGTCAACCCAGGGTTTAACATCCTCGAGGGGTTGACTTGCCCCGAGCCGTAATCCCAAGGGGTGGCGGCGTCCCCATTTGCGCGTTTGATTGGCTGGCCGGCGTTGTTTACTGTAGTTGCTGTAGTCATCATTGCAGACATTACCTGGGCGGGCGTCCAGCCTGGATTCTTCTGGATTAATAATGCTGCAATTCCGGCAAGATGAGCTGTAGCCATTGAGGCACCCGAAACGCAGTTGAACATGGGAGGGTCGGTGGCTGCCGAAGCTGCGCTCTCGCCTGGGTACGAGGACCAGAGCTGGAACCCTGGACCTACTATGTCCGGCTTTAAGATGTCGTTGGTTGGGAGGGAGGATGGGACTGGGAAGAGGGATGGGTTCACGGTTGGTCCTGTGGATGAGAAATCAGTCATTTGGGGAGCGTTGGAGGAATTTGTGGTGATGACTTCGCTAATTGTCGCCACAGGATTGGCCGTCTGCTTCAAGTATTTGTTCACCAGCCCGCCCTGGGTGTTGGTGAGGATCAGGATGGGCAGGTAGGTAAAAGGAATCTTGTCCATGATGCCTGTATCAGGAGAGTTATTAAGGAGGACAAGCGCTGCTGCCTCGTAACGTGTAAAGAAACTGATGAGGACTTCTACAGATGGGTGAAACGTGCAGACGATAATTTTCCCCGCCAATTTGCTTTCGTCGATTGCATAGGTGGAACACCGAGCAGCCTGGGAGCTCATCAGAGTGGGAACGATACAAACAGGTGGAGGGCAAAATAGAGAGATGGTTGGAATGTGCTGATGCGGATTTTTGCAGGTGTGGAGGCGGATGGTTGGAATGTGCATACAATGATCAGTACTGGACATGAAGAAGAGCAGCAGTAGGAGGGGATGTCTTCTTCATGGACGGTACTGTTCCTGCATGTGTGGCGGCGGATGGTTGGGCTTTTGAGGCGCCTCAAACAATGACTGGGATGGTTGGTACGTGCACACGATGATTCAACCTGCCAGCTTGGGGCAGTGACGTCACACAGGGCAGCCTGGGGGGGTCATTGGAAGGGGGAAGGAACCAAACAAGCACAAGAAACAGGAGAGTGAGGTTAATCAGTGCACACGAGAGGATTGAACCCGTCAGCTTGGTTTTGATGTTGTCAATGGCTGTGATGTCGCACAGAGCGGCCAGGGGTTATTAAAAGGGGGAAAAAAAAGAGGCACAGGGCAAAGAACGATGGTATTATGGGCATACCAGTCAATTTGACCCACCGCCTTGGTTTGGTCGATGGTTGTGATGTGGACAAGTATACGTGATCCTAAAGTGGATTCGTAATCAGGACACGTATTAAGGGCACGTGAAAAGGTAGTGTGATAAGGGCACGTGAAAAGGTCATGTGATAAGGGCACGCGATAAGGACACATGATAAGGGCACGTGATATGAACCCCTGAGCGTTTCAGAATCGTGATAATGGCTTGTGGTAAGGAGCGTGTGACTCACATCAGCGGCAGAGGCGCCAGGCTTGACAGCAGCAGCACTTTATTGACCTTTGACTCAACTCAAAGTCACCTTTTGATAAACGCGCGAGACTCACATCAGCAGCAGACGCGCCTGCTCTGACAGCAGCAGAAGCGGGCAGCAGCACTTTATTGACCGTCTGTGCCGTGCCCCCAAAGCTCACTCCCCTCAGCTCCACGCCGTTCCCCAGAGTCAGCTTGGCCAAGAACTGCCGACCGATGGTGCTGTGGGGGGGAGGGGAGGAGAGGAAGATGGGAAAGGGGAAGAAGGAGGGAGTTAGTGGGATGAGGAAAGGGAGTAACTGGTGGTGTGCCTTCCTGCGTGGCTGTCTGCACAGTGCCTCCTCTACTCCGTGCCTCCAAAGCTCACTCCCCTGAGCTCCCCTGAGCGCCTCAAAAGTAGACTCTACACCGTGCCCAAAAATCAGCTTTGTCAGGTACTGCCGACCGATGGTGCTGTGGTAAGGTAGAGAGGGATGAGTTGAGGGAGGGGAGGGAGGGGTGTCTAAAGGAGTGAGAGACTTGTCTTGTCTGACCATCTACTCGGTGCCTCCGAAGCCCACTCCCCTCAACTCCACACCGCTTTCCAGGATCAGCTTTGCCAAGTACTGCCGACCGACCGATGGTGCTGTGGTTGATACAGCAGGGGGGCGAGGAGAGGGGAGGGGTAGGGAAGTCGGGGAAGAAGGGGAAGGAGGGATATGAGGGGGAAGGATTATGATTGGAGTTCGATATTCAGAGTGACAGCAGCAGCAGCAGCAGCAGCGGCGGCGGCGGCGGCGGCGGCGGCGGCGGCGGCGGCAGCAGCAGCAGCAGCAACGACAGATACAATCCCCACTGCTGTGATGTGATGGTACGTACCTCTCTTTCCTGAGCTCCATCCCATTCCCCAGCAGTCTTACGTTACTCCCTCCCTCCCACTGTCAGGTACCAAGGAGCCGCGCTGCTGAGCATCCAACACACAAGAAATCACTCTCAGCAGACTCAGCACACCTTTTCACCGAGTGTTTTCTCTCAACTTACGTTGCTCCCACTGTCAGGTACCAAGGAGCAACGTTGACGATCGTCCCCAGATCACGCTTAGGAGAGGGAGGCCCATTGTTGCCTGCTGACATCACCACAAACACACCCGCCTGCAGAAATCATGGGGGGTGAGGATGGGTTGAGGAGAGGGCGAGTTTAAAGGCGCTTAAAAAAAAAAAAACGCATGACTTGCGGTTTTTTAAGCGCCTCACAGACACACCCGCCTGCAGAAATCGTGGGGGGTGAGGATGGGTTGAGGAGAGGGCGTGGGGACGAATGGAGGGGAGGATCAAGATTCCTCCCAAGTTGCCTGCTGCCAGTGCCACAAACGCCTCCACATGGCAGCATTTGGGGGAGTGGAGTGGGGTTGGGTGGGGTGGGGTGGGAAGGGGATGGGGGCAAGATGGGGGAAATAGTCTTTGGTCGTTGCCTGCTGCCAGCGCCACAAATACCCCTGGTCCCTCCCTCCCTACCTACTCTGGGATGATCCTCACAGCCCCAGCCTAGCTGGATTCACTACTGAGCGAATAATGAGAGAGAGAGACAGAGCCTGTCAGGGAAAGAGAGAGCACGTCCACGCCACCCGCCACAGCAGCATACCTTGGGATCATCTCCAAAGCCTCACCTTAGCCGCATTCATGCTGTGAATATCTGAGAAATAATCGGACGCTATGCTCCCCAAAGTGAGAGAGAGCACGTCGACGCCATCCGCCACAGCGGCGTCAACGGCGGCTCGTATGTCGGTGCCGAAGCCGACCAACGAGCCTCTCCTCAACGGGTCCACCCACAGCGCCTTGTATACAGCGATGCGCGCACGCGGCGCCACGCCGCTCACTGCCCCGTACCTTCGCCCGCTCATCTCCACACTCACGTTGGCGTTCCCCGCTGCCGCTCTGACGATGTTCGGGGGAGAAAGGTGCTAAATGGGAGAGGGGGTACGGAGGATAGGTAGAAGTGCATATGGAGCATAAGAGGACAGTGTGTACTTGCAGAAAGGGAGAACAGAGGGTATAAGAGTATAGGAGGATAGAGTGTGTAATAAACACCACCGTGTAATAAGCACACGCACCCTGCACACCACGTGCCGAGCCCGTCTCCATCCCGGGCGGACGAAAAGTCGTATGGTTCCACGAGCATCTCGTCCTCCAGGAACCCGCTGTTGAAGAACTTTGCGCCGATAATCTTGCCGTTGCAGAGCGAGGCTGGGAAGTCCGCTGTTGCTGTACACCCGCCCAACCAGCGGTCCGGGACCGGGCCGTAGGGGTCTGCAGGCTGTGGAAGAGAACAAGGGGAAACGAAGATGGAGAAAGGGGAGAGAGAAGGGAAAGAGGACAGGGAAGGGAAGGCGGACGGGGAAGGGAAAGAGGAGGGGGAGGGGGGAAGGTGTGAGGGGGAATGGCAAGGGGATGGGGGGGGGATGATGGGGGTTGAAGAATTTGGCGCCGTTAAAGCGACGGGCAACTTTTGGCAGTGTTGGGTTCAGAAGTTTTTTTTTTGAACCAGGCTTGCCAGCGCGAAAGTGCTGGCTGGCGAAAACCAGGATTTCGTGCGGACACTTTCCATCCGCAGTAACAGTTCGCCAGGGTTCTGGGTTTTGGGTGGCAAATGTGCACCGTCGCTTTAAGCTTGCCGTTGCAGAGCGAGGGTGGGAAATCCGCCGTTGCTGCACACCCGCCGAACCAGCGGTCCGGAACCGGGCCGTAGGGGTCCGCAGACTTGGAGCGGTGGAAGGGGGAATGATGCAAGGGGGGAAGGGGGAAAGGGGATTGGGAAAGGAGACGCACGGAAAGGAGGGTGGTGTGGGTGAAGGAGAGGCAGGAGGGAAGGAGGTGGTTGTAGAGGGGAGCAGGAGAAGGACAAGAAGAAGATGCTGCAAACTTGCAGAAATTTATTGCTATCAATAATTATACTGCTTACCGTGTTTGCAAAAGAAGGGTGTTCCGGCCAAATTCCTGAATCCACCACGCCTATAATCACATCCTCGCCCGCGCGGCTCTGCCCCCCGTTTGCAGCCCACAGGCTCGTCGGCAACTTCAAGAAAGTTGACGAGTCTACAGTGCGCGGGCGAACCTGCACCAGAAAACCCATTTTAAGAGTTAGTAGTGGAAACCACAGCAATATTTTAAGACACGATAAAAGCGAAAGAAAATATGCTGCTGGCAGCAAAGGAGAGAGTATGTGGCAGCTTCTGAAATAATAATTTTACCCTCCATTTTCTTATCCTCAACTAGTCCACTCTCCCCCTCCCCCTTCTTGCTCGCTTCCCCCACAGTCTTCGCTTCCCCCTCTCCCCCGCTCTTTCCCCTACTTCCCCGCTTTCCCCCTTCTTTCTTCGGCTACCCCTAGCTAATCGCTTCACTCATTGTCTCTCTTCTTTTCACTCACCGGTTTGTCTTCTTCGATCCACGCCACGGCGGGATGGTGCTTCAGCCGTTTCGCTTCCGCGTCCGTCAGCGATACAGCGAACCCATTTGCCGTGTACGTGTAGCTCTGGAACATCCGCGACGGCGAAATGTTGTTCTTTCGCAAAAACTGCCGCTGCGAGTCCTGCAGAAAGTTGACGAAAGCTTTCACGTTCGCCCGCCGCACGTCTGCGCGTCGCTTGATTCGATCCACAAGCCGCCGTATCGCTTTCCGAGGAGCCTCGAAACTCGATTTTGTGATTGCAGCGAAGCGAGGAGGCACTGCGGATGTGCTACTAGCGGTCGCGAGTCGGGCCGCGACGAGCCCTTGAAGCGTCGCCGCTGCAAGCGTGACATTTGTAGCGCTGCTGTCGCCAGCTGTAGTAGAATCGTCGGTTGTAGCGCCGCCGGCTGTAGCGTCACCGGCGGTAGCGCCGCCAGCTGGGAAAGGAACTCCCGCGGTTCCTCCTCCCCCAGGAATGTTGCCTGAGACACCCGAACCGGCGTCAAATGAACCGCCATCCGAACCGCCACGTGGACTATCAACCGGAGCGCTATCGTTGTCGTCCGCGTCCGTGGGGCTGCTCTCGGGGTCGTTGTCGTCTAGCTCTGGCGCGGTCGCGGCCAGCCCCGCCACGCCGCCGCGGTAGTTGAGCACCGGCGGCACCGCCGCCAGGTGCACTATGTACTGCTTGCGCAGGGGCGCCGCTTTCGCGCGCGTAGCTGTGGAGAGGGAGGTGGGGAAGGTGGGAGTGCGGGGTTAAGCGGAAGAAACGGTCGCCAGGTGCACTATGCGCCCTTGCGCAGGCGCCTCGGCTTTGGAGCGCACCGTTGGAAGGATTTGGAGGGGAAGGGGCGGCAGTGAGTAGTAATTATCTTAGCACACCCGATGATGTCAGTTAGTAGCACCCCAATCCCGTACCCTGCGACTTCGGGAGTCCTCCTGCGACGATTGCCACCAAGAAGACGACGGCCCATCTCAACACCATCGTTGCCGACCATTTCGCAGGATCGCTACTAGCGACACGCCTAGGCGACACGTTCCGTCGCACGCCGGTCGCCCACGTCGCTGTGCGAGAGCGACTCATCGCCGTGTCTCGACCTTGCTTAAAAAAGGAGATGAGGTCCTCAGAAGAGCAAGAATGTGTCAACCCTCTACAAGTCGACACCTTCTTACAAACACAGCACCGAAATGAAGTTGTATCGTACTAGGGACCTTCTGAACGGGAACGCTCAGAGTAAGGTCGCAGTACTACCTTCCCATTAAACCCGAAACCAACAACCATCGACTGACCTGTAGCTGCTGTGACGGCTGCTGGGAAAGCGCAAATGATGAAGATGGGTCCGAATGCGCCGAGTCGGCGATGCTACAACCTGCGGTGTATCGAATGGATGAAATCGACTCTTAGGTTCCGGTTGCAAGACATGGAATTCACGGGAGAGTACGCAGCAAGAGCCACGGGACGAGACCCGACGCAAACCGTCAACTGGCATTTTGACAATGCCTACTACATATTACTACAAGCCGGTGGCATGGTGGTGAAGATTTTCTTTGTGAAGAATTGCCGTGCTTTGCAGTTCGAGCCGACATTTGGGAGAAGGGGGTTCCCCACGTGACGGAAGGGGGGAAAGGAAGGGGCAGCTGCTCTGAACTGAAACCATGTCATCCACACCAACCCCTATCCGCACATTTGGTCTTGCCAATCCCGATCGCCTGCCCAAATACATTTGGGCCAATATCAACTGCATTCTACTTTTGCTAGGAAATCTAGGCTTATCACACTAAAGGGTGTGCAGTCACATTTGGTCACTCATTTATCAAGAACGGTCATTGAAAGGCAGAATCTATCACGGATGGTCATTGACAATCATGGATAGTCACTCATCGCCCAACACTGTTATCACGTTTCGTCACTAGAAAAACGCTCGCACGAAAGTTGAAACCTTTGAGAAGAAACGAGGAAAATGAATTGACTAAGGGAAAGTTGGGTACAAAATGCAAACCCTAGAAAACTGTACCCCATATGTGCTACCCCACTATAGCCTACAGTAGCTATGTCATATAAATCTGACACACCCCCATAGGCAAAGTGGGGGAGAACAAGGGGTCACAAGACCAGTCAAGCAAAGCAAAGCAAGCTCAGGGTGGATCACAAAGTCACCACACATTCCGAGCACAAGTTCAAGGCCACAAGGCCAGTTCACATGCAGGATTACATATATATATAAGGCTAGACAAGCAAGAGCAGGAGTATATATATATGCATCAGTACAAACAAGGTCAAGGGGTGAGCAAGTGAGGCAAGGTGGGCACAAGACCCAGCTGAGTACAGAAGCGCTGATGATCACAAGGCGCAAGTGCCTTGGTGAAGATATCAGCAGTGTTGGCCTGAGAGGCCACGTACGCAAGTCGCAGCTGACCACGCTGCTGTAGCTCACGAGCAAGGAAGTAGCGGAGAGCAATATGCTTCGTTCTGTGCTCCAGTCTCTGCTCTCGACATAAGGCCAGCATGGCCTTGTTGTCTACGTACAGCACTGGAGGAGAACGAGGCGGCTCTCCGAGGTCAGTCAGCAGGTAGGTGAGCCAGCGAAGCTCCTGTGCAGCCATGGCCCCGGCGTAGATCTCAGCCTCACAACTGGAGCCGAGAACAGAAGACGAGCGGGTAGCCCGCCACGAAACAGAGCCGGAACCAAGGCTGAAGGTGTAACCCTGTGACGACCGCTGCGTAGCCTGGTCGTCAGCCCAAGAAGCGTCTGCGTGCCCAGTGAGGACCACTGGACTCTGCCCTCCAAGCACAAGCCCCATGCCCGACGTACTGCACAAGTAACGCAACACCCTCTTCGCTGCAGCCATGTGCTCCGGTCTGTGTCTCCCAGGAGCAACATAGCGTGCGAGAATGCTAAGAGGGTATGCGAGGTCAGGTCGTGTGCAGGTCCATCAGGTACATGAGGCAGCCAACAAGCTCTGGGTACGGGCCACTCGACTCTACGGACTCATCCGAAGGCAGAGCTGAGAGCGAGTGGCGAGTAGGCAGAGGAGTGGCCTGAGGCGAGGAGTACGTGAAGCCGAAGCGCTGAAGGACCTGCTGCACCATGTGTGACTGAGTCAGGGTAATGGTGCGGCGTGCTCTGTCCCGGGTGATCTGCAAGCCAAGGTAGCTGCGCAGTTCACCCAGGTCTGTGCACGTGTGTCTTTTCTGCAGCTCGGACTTCACGTGGGCGAGTCCAGCAGTGTCAGCTGTGGCAAAGACCAAGTCGTCGACGTACACGAGGATGTAGAACGGCGGCAAAGAAGTGTCGGTGCGCAGAAACAGCGACGGGTCGGCAGTAGAGGGAGCAAACCCAAGAGCCGCAAGTGTAGTCCTCAGTGTGTCGTGCCACTCACGCGGTGCCTGGCGGAGACCGTAGACTGGCCGCCGGAGGCTCCACTGGGTGCCAGGAGGAAAAGACCCAGTGAAGCCAGGTGGGCGACGCAGCCAGATCTCCTCGTGCAGGCTGCCCTGCAAGAAAGCAGTGCTGAAGTCAAGAGAGTGCAGCTCGTAGTCGCGGTGAGCAGCTATGTGCAGCAGTACCCGAAGAGTGGTCATCTTCGGGGTGGGAGAGAAGGTCTGAAAGTAGTCAACTCCCTGCCGCTGACTGAAGCCACGAGCCACGTAACGCGCCTTGAAGACAGGCGGAGAACCCGGCGGTCGCTTCACCCTGAAAATCCACATGCCACTGACGATGTTCGCCCCAGGCGGGGGAACCTCGTCAACGTAGGTGCCTGTGGACTTCCAGGAAGCCATCTCTGTGTCCATAGCTGCCTGCCACTGAGAGGAGTAGGGACCCTCTATCGCCTCCGCGTAAGAGCGCGGAGTCGGGATGTCAAGTGCATCCGGGTCTCCCTCAGGGGTAAGCAGTACGGACACGAGATGAGGTGAAGCAGCAGCCAAACACTGGAACTCCTCCTGCCTGTCCTCAAGGACGTCCGTGCCAAGGGCACACTCACCCCCGACAGACGGAGGACAGACAGACTCAGACTCAACGACAAGACTAGCAGCGTAGTCTAGACGACAGCGAGCAGCAAAGTCGACGAGCTCAGCAACTAGGGCAGACGCAGCAGTGGACTCAAAGGAAGGGTCAGTGACGACAGTAGCAAGGAGACGCGTGACAGTAGGACTGGCAGCACGAAGAGAGTCCGACTCCGGGTCGGGAAGAGCAGGAAGAGAGGACTCAGGAGGAGAAGGCAAAGGGGCACGCAGAGGAGCAGTGGACGGACGCAGAGACATCCGGTGCGTGCCAGGGACAGGAGGAGGACGCTGACGCGAACCACGACCACTAGTGCGAGCAAGACGGACAGGCGACGCAGGGCGAGACGCAGGCTCACGACGCTCAGCCAGACCTCCAGTAGGACCAGTGTAGGGAGAAGGAGCGGGCAGTGGGGAGGCCGGCTGTAACTGGAACTGTGACGGGACAGGCTGTGGACACTCTAAGGGAGGAGGAGGACCAGTAAAAGGCGGGAGACCAAGAACCTGCTGAAGGAGCGGAACGAAGTACGGCCGTGGCCGCGCGGCGACTCCAGACACAGCAGGGACAGCACCAGTACCCCCAGCGGCAGCACCAGCGTCAGCAGCACCTCCAGCTCCAGTACCTCCAGCAGCACCAGTAGTACCCCCAGCAGAACCGCCTCCAGGACCGACAGCAGTAGCCTCAGCGCCAACACCCTCAGGAGCTCCAGCTCCAGTCGTACCCGCAGGCCCAGCAGCTCCAGTACTCCCAGTACGAGCACCTCCGGGACCCGCGGCACCAGCACCCTCAGCAGCCGAAGAACCTCCAGCTCCAGCAGCACGCCTCCAGCGCCGGGCAAACCACTCTCGCAACTCCTGTGGAGAGAGTGGATCCCGCCGAGACGAAGCACCCGGAGAACCTCCAGGCTCAGCACCGCCAGACGCCACACGAGCAGGCCCAGCTCCCTCAGGCTCCGTACCCCCACGCTGAGCACCTCCAGGCGTAGCACCCCCAGGCTCAGCACCCCCAGGCTCAGCACCCCCAGGCTCAGCACCCCCAGTAGTAGTACCCCCAGGCTCAGCACCCCCAGGCTCAGCACCCCCAGGAGTAGCACCCTCAGGCTCAGCACCCCCAGGCGTAGCACCCACACGCTCAGCACCCCCAGAGTCAGCACTCTCAGCAGCACCAGGGTCACCAGTAACCTCGACGGGCTCGACGGCGTCTACCTGGGACACACCTGAAGGGGCAGGACCCTGAGGGGGGAGGGGGTCTACCGGGGGGGGGCCTGGCACAAGGAAGAGCGGTGGCGGGGGGAGGGACGGAGTGCGGTAGGGGAAGAGGCGGTACTAGGGGACCGACTCGTCAAACGTGACATCCTGGGAGGACAGAACACGGCGAGAGGTGGGGTGGTAGAACTGCCACCCTGGCGCGTCAGGGGGGAAGCCAAGGAAGACGCAAGGAGCAGCACGAGGGGACAGCTTGTCCGCAGACAAGTCGCGGACAAACGCCTGAGATCCCCAAACACGGAACGCAGACGCATCGCCAACCTTCCCCGTCCACAGCAAAGCTGGGGAGGTCTCCGGCATGGAGACCCTGGGGTGAAGGTTGATCTGATGCGCCGCATACCGAACCGCAAACGGCCACAGAAAATGGGGGGCAGCCGCATGCATCATGGACGTACGGGCGACGTCCATGACCATGCCAATGCGGCGCTCAGCAATCCCATTTTGCTGTGGAGAGTCCGGAAGCGTGAAGGTCTGGCGGATGCCTCGTGCACGACAGTAGGCTCGCAGAAGGCCAGAGGAGAACTCTCCACCTCTGTCAGAGTGCAGACGCAGAACAGGAAAGTCCGAGCCGAAACTCTGCCTGAGCTGGAGACGAGCTGCGCGGATCCAGTCGATCAACACCGCAGTGACATCACCCTTGCTGCGCAAGGGGAAGACTGTGGTGTAACGCGAGTAGTCGTCAACCACCAGCAGGAAGTAGCGCTCGTGACCCCGTCCACGGACGCGGGCCGGGCCCCACACGTCCATGTGAAGCGTCTGCAGCGGGGCCTCTGTCGGAGGAAACTGGGAGGAGTGAGGGGCAGCCCGCTGCCGCCCCTCGACACAAGGGACGCAGGTAGGGCCGGGCCCCGGAGGAAGGGGAGGGAGGGACCGGGGAAGACCAGAGACAAGGACACGGGAGGCCATGCCTCGGAGACGAAGCAGGGAGGGGTGACCCAGGCGGTGGTGCCAGAGGAGAGTCTCGTGCGACAGGAGACGACACGAACAGGGGGCAGACTCAGGACCAGACCTGGACGCTGCAGCAAACACCTGACCCGACGCAGCTACCTGACCAGACGCAGTGACTGGAGGAGACGCAGTGGTTAGTGTGTACAGGCTCGACCCCGGCCGACGTGTAAACGTGGCCAGGTGTCGGCCCGTCCGAGCATCCGTGCAGTGGGTCACCCGCTGACTCGCAGGAGTGAACTGGTGAACCCCCGCATCCTGGAGGTCAGCACCACTCACCAAGTTCGTAGAGAACGAGGGGAGGTAAAGACCAGATAGGGTGCCAGAGGGGGCCGCCGGACACGGGAGGACAGTGGAGAAGTGAGCAAGGACAGGACCCCCAGAGGGGTCTGCCAGAGAGACTGCAACTGGCCGGCCAAGCGGTGTGAGTGTGGTGCGGTCTTGAAAGAAGGAGCGAGAAGCCCCCGAGTCAAGGGTGAAGGTGTGGGAGGCCGAAGCCGACGCAGTACC